AAAGTCTAACTCACATAATATATATATACATCATATCTTTCATCAAAATTATTATTCTACGTTTCCAATTACTTTTTGCTCGAAGAATCAGATTCTTCAATTTGTATCGTGATTTTCGACATAACCTCTGCGCAACAAGGTATATGAAGTTATTTAGATTACACAATTTCGAACAAATTGGGTTGGAAAGCTAATTCTATCCGTAAACTATCCCTTTGCTTTGGTAAAAGGGGGAAACATTCTCGGTCTGAATCGATGAAAAATCACGGAAACATCGGTCAAAACCTCTCGTTTTCCAAATATTGCTGCCTTTCCCCCGAGTTTATAAGCAGGTTTCTCGATTGTTCTCTATTTTCTTCGTTTCTCCTCCACGAATCTAATCAAATTCAAGGGTCACGCAAATCGAACATAACCTATTCTTTTAGCTGACAATTGCTCGGTTGATATTTTAATTTATATATTAGTTTCTACAAGTAAATTTTAGAAAGAAGAAAGATCAACTATTGCCTTTACATTAAAAAAATAAAAAAATTTGTCACTTTAATACACACAGTCATGGTAATAAAAAATGATAGAATCTCGATGTCACGAGTGTTCTTATAACTTAAGAAATATATATATATATATATATATATATATAGATAATAAATAAGCCTTAACTAATATCTCCATATCAATTCATGTTCTTTTTATCCACAGAATCGATCCTTCAAAGAAAACGTTAAACACTTTGTATATTTATACGTAATGCACAAGTTTCGATTGCAACAATACGAATTGGAAAATATCCAAATTTCCAAACTTTTGAATGATATTGTAGGTATGCATGTAGGACAAGGTGACAGCATACCGCGTAGTCGGTGTGTGGGCGGGTATGTTATGCAACGGGTGGTAAACGAATCTTCCTGGAGAAATTGAATTTTGTAGGGAGTTGGTGAAGCGCGTCACGAAAATCGTTGAAACCGCACAAATATTTTGTTTCATCGTTCCAACGATGGCTGCGGTTTGGTTGGTGGCTCTGTTTGCCGATCACCTCTTTCTTCCTTTTATTTTTTTTTTTTTTTTTTGTTCTTCTGCATTCGTTGCCTTGTCCCGAGGTCGCGAGCTTTGTCATTTCCTTCTTCTTTTTCTTTTCTTTTTTTTTTTTTTTGATCGCGGTTTCGCCCTTTGATTCTCAAATTGTCGCCCTTTGATTGCCGATAGCGATTTATCGGTCTTCTCTTTTTTTTTTTTGTAAAAACGTGTCGGCGTCTTCGCTTCGATCTGTGCACGCTCGCGACATCTGGAGTCGAATTTTTTGGTATCTCGAGAACTCTGCACACAAATTTTACAATATTCAAATTTTGTTTATAAAAATTTTGTATATAAAAAATTGTGAGTTTTAGCAGAGATTTTTATATTTAAATTTATTTCACGATTATTTGTTAGAGAATTTTGTTAATTTCTGAACAACTGTGATAAATGTCCTAACAAGATATATAGTACATTCGTATAATTTAAATAAGTAAATGCTTAATATAAGTAAATTTTGTTATTATTAGGATGGATAAAGATAAAAAGTATCCCATTCTGAAAATTGGACTCTATAGTCTTTATCATTATTATCGTTCATCCACGATTAATTATTTATTTTCGATTATAAATTCATTTATTATTAACATTCATAAATCCACTTACATCATTTAGGTAAAACAACCTGTCGATATTGCAAAATCAATTTTTCAATTTTCATAAATTATCCACTTGTTGATTAACCGAATTTAGCCAAATTAATTTCAAATTCTGAAAATAAAAAAAAAAAAAAGAATGCACAAAATTCGCATACTTTATAAATTGTATATTGGAAAAAAAGGGGTTGTTGATCGCAAAAAGAGCAGCAAATTAATTTAGCAACGCGTTGTTGCCTTGGGAAAAAAAAAAATGGAGAGCACGAAATCGATGCCGGTCAGGCTGGAATAAGGCGAGGATATATGGTGGTAAAGCGAACGAATACTGGATCAAACCGAATCCAATAACTCCCGTGGGATTACAAACCCGATCCTCGAGGACCGAGCATTCCCCAAAGATGTGTAAGTTGCGGCAAAGAGGCGAAAAGAGAAGGATGGAGGTGTTGGGAAGCCGAGCTAGATCTCGTCGAAGGGTTAGGATATTTCGTTGTGTCCAACCAGATCGCAGCCTGCATTCGTGCCAGGTATACCGGGTGACCGATCTGGTTTTGCATCGATCTGCTATCATGGAACCTATGTTTCCTCGAATTTTACTTATTGGAGTGAAATTTTTTTTGTTCGAGTTTCTGTCGCTCGAATATTGGCCAATATCGTTGGTCAAATATTACAATGATTGGTTTAAATAATTAGATAAAAAATATATTTATCTGAAGTTTCTGAAACGATATGTTTTGTTGCTTGATTGCTAATCAGTTTCTATTGCAATAAATTGTTAGTAAAATTTTACGTACGACTGATCTATATATATAGGGTGTTCAGGTAATAAGCGAGGCTATATTTATCGATATTTTTTTCTGGAATTTTCTTATTATTCTCATATCTTTTTCTCTCTCGCTTCTTACAAGGAAATTGAGAAAGAATCCGTCAACTCTTTATCGTTCTAACTAAACTATTGTAGATTGTGTATCAAGATGATCAATGTTAAATCGTTAAATTATATAAAAAGATTATATTATTCTATAAATAAAATTAAAGCTACCCCCCTAAATACTAAATAATAAAGTTTGTTAATTTTTAGAATCACCTTTTAAATTTTCCATTTACTTTTGAACACCCGGTATGAATGGAAAGCGAAGCAATAAAGTACGTGAGATATTTTCTTGAAAAATTTTGCAAGAATATTTCTCGGATAGGAGATCTACGGAACGTTTTGACATACACAAAGAAGAAAGAATAGCAAACGATACTGTGAAATTTATTAGAAAATATTTGGAATCCATTTATACAGCACGTGAAATTTTCTAACTTTTAGGTTAGGTTCGACTTGTTTTCCAAACTAAACTACGTAAAACAAATGACTGTAAAATTTTTAAATGAAAAAATATTTGATATTTCTAATCTCCATTCAATCTATTACTTAAATCCATTGATTTTTAGGTTAGGTTAAATTCGCCAAAATTCACGAGTCGTCCTTTTGAATATATAAATCGAATTCAGAAAGAATTTTCGAAATTCGATTTATTTTCTCTCAAATAATAACAAGTTACGAAAAAGAAGAAAGAATAGCGAACGATACTGTGAAATTTATTAGAAAATATTTGGAATCCATTTATACAGCACGTGAAATTTTCTAACTTTTAGGTTAGGTTCGACTTGTTTTCCAAACTAAACTACGTAAAACAAATGACTGTAAAATTTTTAAATGAAAAAATATTTGATATTTCTAATCTCCATTCAATCTATTACTTAAATCCATTGATTTTTAGGTTAGGTTAAATTCGCCGAAATTCACGAGTCGTCCTTTTGAATATATAAATCGAATTCAGAAAGAATTTTCGAAATTCGACTTATCCTCTCTTGAATCAAGTTACGAGATTTATCGAAAAATATTTGAAACACCTTTTACGTGAAAAAACAGTATTTTAGATGAGGTTTCTGTACAAATTTACCAGTCACCGTGTATAACCTCTCGATGATATCCTCGGTGAAGTCGAAATCGATAGAAATTCAGAGAGTTTGTGGGTTAGGATCGAAGCCCCGACACGGTTTTACACCGATGCCGGATTATAAAATTATAATCGTCTTCAAATTGACGAGGAACTTTCGTGGAGGGTTCGAATCGATCAACCGGAATCCAAGTTTCAACCGGGGAGGATCAAGAAGTTTTCGCCGAGTAATTCTCGCCGTGCGGCGAGTTTCTGTCCAGATTCTCGAATCAGA